GACTTCAATTTTTCAAGTTACAGCCATTTCAAGAAAATGTCAAAAATCTGAAAAGTACCCTGTACTATAGCCCATGGTTTTTCCAAAAAATGGCTCCGAAATCACCCCAAATTTTTATTACATTTTCTGATACATATTGATGTACTTATGCTGTATAGAAAGTTTGAGCTGATTCTGACTTCAATTTTTCAAGTTACAGCCATTTCAAGAAAATGTCAAAAATCTGAAAAGTACCCTGTACTATAGCCCATGGTTTTTCCAAAAAATGGCTCCGAAATCACCCCAAATTTTTGTTACATTTTCTGATACATATTGATGTACTTATGTTGTATAGAAAGTTTGAGCTGATTCCGACTTCAATTTTTCAAGTTATAGTCATTTTAAGAAAACGTCAAAATTCTAAAAAGATCCCTGTACTATAGCTATAATAGTTTGTAATGGCGGAGCACTTAAATGTCTTGCCATTAGTTTTAGTAATAGTAATAGTAGTGTAAAAATATTTATTAGAAACACTAAATTGTATGTACCGGGTACTTTATTTTTGTTTTGGTATTTATTTGTTTTCCTTTTTATAATATTTTTCCATTTATGCATGCACAAATTCCTGTATTATTTCAAATCCTTAGTCAAGCTTAACTATAGCCCATGGTTTTTTCCAAAAAATGGCTCCAAAATTGCCCCAAATTTTTATTACATTTTTTGATACATATTGATGTCCTTATGCTGTGTAGCAAGTTTGAGCTGATTCCAACTTCAATTTTTCAAGTTATAGTCATTTTAAGAAAATGCCAAAAATCTGAAAAGTACCCAAGGCTATAGCCCATGGTTTTTTCCAAAAATGGCTCCGAAATCACCCCAAATTTTTATTACATTTTCTGATACATATTGATGCCCTTATGCTGTGTAGAAAGTTTGAGCTGATTCCGACTTCAATTTTTAAAGTTACGTCCATTTTAAGAAAACGTCAAAATTCTGAAAAAATCCCTGTACTATAACCCATGGTTTTTTCCAAAAAATGGCTCCGGAATCATCCAAATTTTTATTACATTTTCTGATACATATGCTGTGTAGAAAGCTTTAGCTGATTCCAATTAAAACTTTATGAGTTATGTAATATATAGTTCTTCATTTTTGATGTGAAATTGTGCATACTTTATCCTGTGGTTAATTATTAATTAATATGTCATTTCCGTTCAGTTCTTTATATAAGAGTCCTTTCTCTCTTCTCTTTCTTCAGTTTCAAAATAATTTCAAAGACTTAAAGTCAAATCTACTATCCTTCATGGATTGATGGTACCAAAGTGTCCATTATATAGAGGCTATATATAGTCTGCACATGTACATGTATATGAGTGAGTTGGGGAAGTGGTTTTATTGTGTACTTTATGTGGTATCTTCTTTATTCATTTCCTTTAGAAGTCTTCAGTAAATAATCTCACAATATCCTTGAGGATTGTTATCATTATCTTCCACACCTAGCTTACTTACACCACACTCACCCTCTTACAGTTGAGGTAATTTTCTTTCCCCACTCCCTCTCTTCCTTTCTAGCTCTCTCTCTCTCCCTCTCTCTCCTCTCTCTCTTTCCCCCCTCTCTCTCTCTCCCCCTTTTCCTCTCTTTCTCTCTCCCTCTCTCCTTCTCACTACACTCCATTTATCCCTACACTACAAGTAGTTGTACTATTATTATGATATAGTTCATAGCATGTGTCACATCTCACCAGTTATACTATTATCATGTGTATAGTACAGAATATGTGTCACATTGTTATTTGATGCTGTTAGTCTTCACTGATTCATTAATTGTACTGTAACTGCATTAACTTACTGTCAGTGGATTTATTAATTCAGTTATGAGTAAGTATACAGTGTAGCCTCTTTATTAAGGACACCATTGGGCCCACACTACCTGTCCTTAATACATGTACAGTGTAGCCTCTTTATTAAGGACACCATTGGGCCCACACTACCTGTCCTTAATACATGTACAGTGTAGCCTCTTTGTTAAGGACACCATTGGGCCCATACTACCTGTCCTTAATACATGTACAGTGTAGCCTCTTTATTAAGGACACCATTGGGCCCACACTACCTGTCCTTAATACATGTACAGTGTAGCCTCTTTATTAAGGACACCATTGGGTCCACACTACCTGTCCTTAATACATGTACAGTGTAGCCTCTTTATTAAGGACACCATTGGGCCCACACTACCTGCCCTTAATGCATGTACAGTGTAGCCTCTTTATTAAGGACACCATTGGGCCCACACTACCTGTCCTTAATACAGAGGTGTCCTCATTTCAGAGGTGCTTTTGTATAGGCTTGTACCAATTGGGACATTACAAAATGTCCTCATTATAAAGGTGTCCTTATTATAGAAGTGGCCACAGTGGGAGGTTACACTGTACATATATATTAGTGTATTATGTACATAAGTATGTATAACAGATTAATACAGTGCATGGTGCATGTTGTTTATACATTAGCCATTGTTATTACAGGTTGTGTGGGTTTGTCTTCTACTGTTTAGATAGCTGCTAGTTGTTTTCATAGTCAATTCTACGGATCCTTTTCTCTTGTCATTATAAGTATCTGTAA